CATAAAAATGAATCTTCTTGAGCAGGTCTGAGCAGAATACTGGCAGCTGTCCTTGAATTATGGAGGAATGATTAGAAGAAATAGTTTTCTCCACAGTTCTGCACCCCCTCCTTCTTCCCATGCACCACATTTTTAGATGCGACTTGAATGAAATACAGCTGACATTTGACATGCAAAGCTTGACAGAGATGTAATGCTCTGAAAGCATATGCATTTGTTGTATTTTGGAGGTGAAGATTGATCACTTGTTTATTTTCACATTTTGAAGTGTGCCTATCGTAACACAAATTAAGTGAACAATAAAAAAAATAAAAACATGCAATCATGAATAAAACTTGACCAAATATTGATTGTGACTCAACGAGCACTCTCCAGTGGGTTTTATAATGGAGCCCATCCTTTCCCTCTCACCCCACCCATCCTTTTAGGAATAGAATGAGTAAACATATAGGGTTTCTAAGAGTGCAGAAGGCAAAAAAATGCAGCTTGTATAGACTGTGTCTGGCAGTGAAATTTGTCATCAAGGACATTTTACTGATGTACTCCCTCTGCCATCAATTAGGAGATATACAAGTATAAAGATGTCATTTCAGCTTCTGTGGTGTTAGGTAATGAAGGGTGAAGCTCTCAGAAATAGGTCAGTTTGGGCTGGACAACAGAGAAAATTTATCTGTAGTGGAACCCATATCTGTACATATCTGAACCCATATCTGTATCTGTACAGTGGAACCCATAAAGGCTTCCAAGTAACAAAGGTATGTAGGAAAGAGCTTGTTGAATAGGTACAGTTGCCTCTAACTAAGGGATGTGTTGGCAGCCGGTTCTGTGAATGCAAGGTGTTTTTTGCACAAGGGAGAGAGAGGACAGTAGTTTGAGATCCAACTTAAATTATTTTTTATCATTATTTTTTTCACATCATTATGAAAAATGAAAAAGATTCATCAGATTTAGCTTATGACTAATTGAGGGCAGGGTAGTGTTACAATGCCTTAAGTTTTTCTTCTGTCAGTAAACACATTGCTTAGAACGGGGACCAGATCTTTCCCTATCTTTATAAAATGCCTACTATAGCAAGCTTTTGGGCTCGATCAGGAAATTTCAATGCTGTCATAATTCAGACAATAACAATAATGTAGTACTACTGGCAAGAAATTCTAAAACCAACGTGCTTCAGATAATGTTTGAGCTGAACTGTGGTTTCAAGTGGAAACCAGATGAATATGGATTGTACAAAATGGTTTAAGCCCCATAATCATCCCAGCTATTACCAAGTTTCTCACTGGGTTATATCTTTATCTAAATTCAGTGCTTGACGTAAAATTCAGAGTGTCCGAATCTCTCTGAGCAACATCTGAGGCAGATGGCCTCATTGCATACTCTTCTAATCCAGTAAAATTACTTGCTGCTGTAGGCTGTAGGGTCCCCACATTCAGTTTGAGGGTAATGTTTTGGACTTACTGAAATACTCAGAACATTTGCTGTTGACTTCAACATGTTTGCAATTTTCTTGCCCCCTCAACAGGGCAAAATGTCTGTAGTTATCCTTACCTAACATGGTGGGAAATGTTGCACATAGATGTGTTGCTCAGTCTCCTGCACCTGAGTTGTGCTGCATGTGAAGTACAATAGACTTGGCACTACTGCTTTACCAGACTGGCTTATCAATAATGCCTGCAGGTTACACTGCCTCTTCTCATGTCAGAAGCATAGAGGGGTAACAGAAGATGCAGCTATTTTTTCTTTTCCATTTAATTGTCATTTAAATCAATTTATCTTTGGTATCAAGGTGTAGTCATCTTCATCTGAATATTTAATAAGAGGTGTCATATATCAGAAGGCTCTTTCAGCCTCTTTGGGATCATACTGTGCTCTCATTGCCTGGGATAGCTGGAACAGCTCACCGTAGAGAGAAGCTTGCCTGCAAAGGCTTTGAACAGTTATGCAGAAGGTGACAAATGGAAGCAAGGTTAGTTTAATTTAGTTGTGGGGTGTGCATGCATGCTGGGCAGCAAGGCTGTTCTTCAAAGGTGGAGGAGAAGCACCGCAAGCCAGCATGGATTTCCATTTGTCTGATGTATAGCGCTGAAGTGTCATTTTTGTAGTTTCTTGTTTATTCTTGCTCTAAAGAATGCCAAAAGATGTAGACAGGTGGAAGAAGAACTCCCATATTGATTTTGCATGTGATGTGAATTTAGTGAGAGCAATAACAGTTAGGAGAGGGAGCCTCAGTCTTATTTTGATCTAGAATGTATAGTGGAGGGTACATGAATTTGCATGCCTACCTGTGTCTCGTTTTACTTTCTGTGTGAAATTAGCTCGACACCCTAAGCTGCAGAGGAGGAGAATGCTGCTTAGATAATTAAGGAAAAGAGAGCGATGTGCCAGCTGAGTTAGGATGAATGACCTGAGAACATCATCAGAAGAGTGTGTTATCATGAGCAGAAATGGCAGTTGTCTAACTTGCACCATCTTTCCTGTGACTGACTTTCTCATGCAAAGTCTGTGGCAGTTAAGGTGACTATGCTGAATCTCTTCAGAAATGCTCATGTTACCAGTTTGCTCACAGCATGCTCAGTAGCCTGTTAATTAACATACCCAACCTCAGCCTGCACTTTCAGCTTCTTTTACTGTCAGTCTGTGGTGGCTCCTCAGGTCCACTCTAGCAAAGCTTGCATTTCTGAGGCAAGCAAAACAGCCCAGAGATGTAGTGTGGGAAGTGGTTTTGACATAATTTTAGAGAAAGTATGATACAGATCTATAAAACCTTGCTACTAGTTGTTGATATCACTGTTTCCAGGTTATTGAAGATGCTTCATGCATTGATGCTGGTGAACAGAATTGACTGCTTAAGGTCATCCTCATGGGTGGAGTTTATATCTGGCATACTTGCTAGCTGTAGGGAAATACTGTGATATGCCATGAGGCAGCATATGTACTTAAAAGGATATTCAGAGGGATTGCCAGCTTTCTTAACAGATGATCTATGTGATGTGTCCAAAGACAGGAAATACATATCTGCTTTCATTTGACTTATTTAATGGGTACCATTTGGTGGGAGTTTTTTGCTTAGAGTGTCTTTTCTTTCCTTTTTTAGTTTTCTGAGGAACTGGTGGTTTCAAAAAGGCATTTTAAAGAGGCCTTTAAAAGCGGTTGTTCTCTTTGCTGTCTAGGAGGGTTCTGTGTGGGAGCAGAGAGTAGGATAAACTACTTCGTCCTGTTGTGGTCTTACTGCAAAGACAGTGCCTGAGCTATACACACTGGGAATTGATTCAGCTATGGCCATTATCCAGCTGCCACAAGCTAGGAGCAAAGGTCCTATGCCCTTATATTTGCAGTTCAGAGCTAAAAAGATGATAGGCTTCTTGTAGCCAGAATGTGTTGCTAACGAATGGTCCTTCTGTGGTCACTTTGCCAATGCAGCTTTATTCCAGAATCTCTTTCCTCTGAAAATTAAAGACCTCATTGGTTTATTATTATATTGTATGTGCTTTCTGTTCTAGACCTTAATGAAATGTTGACCCCCCCTTTAAATTGCTTACAAATGACAGAAAGCATTTTTCCTTACCTTCCCAGCTTCGTCTCTTAATTCTTCTCCTCCCTTTCTTCCCATTCCCACTACTGTGATCCTTCATCGGCATGCTGCTCATGGTTTTCACCTTCTTTAAGAGGAGCTCTTTTGTACAGAGAAGTTACAAGCTTTTGAAGTGCAGCATCAAAATAAAAAATGAAATCCTCCAGTGTGCTAAGGCCAAGAAAAATTGCACAGAATGAAGATGCTGTTCAAGGGGCAAGTGGCTTGGTCATGCTGAGGTTTTAACTTTCATTTTTAATGTTTAAAGCAAAAATAGATTAATTGAATCTCTGCTGAATTTATACTTCTCTCAGCAAAGGAAAAGTGGTACCAGAACAAGGCAATTGGAAAGGCTTGGACCTAAAGAGTCTGAATCATGACTAAATCAAAATGTTTTCATTTACTTTTAATATTAAAGTATTCTTTGAATCACAAGCTTTAGCTGTGCTTGTTTTGACTCTGCGCAGAGCTATTTTTTTCTGTATGTGCATTGCTGTACAGCTAGCTTAAATGGATGACTACAAAAGAAAGGGCAATTTTTTAACCATCACTTATCTCAGACCACTGCTGGCAGCAAAGTGAATGAATGCCCTGATTGGGTTTGGCACTTTAGCTTCCTATTTCTCTTTCCTTATACAAAGAGATAACAGGAATGCAGGCCTTTTGCTTTATCTCACGCAGTAATAATGCACCTCAGCAAAGATTTGAATGGGCTGCAGGATTATTAGGATTGTAATGTCTTGCTTTCTTTTTCAAGTAGGATGAAACTAATTGTAATCATCTGTTGGGTTAGATGAACACAATGGGTTCTCAGCTGTAGGCTTTCATCACAGCGGAGATCTTGTATGATTTGGCCTGGCAGGGCTCTGGGATCACAAAAGTTTTGTAGGTGTCAGATGTTTGGCACTCAGAACCAAGCACTGAGAGCCGTCGTCATACTTGCGTTTCCCCACTTTCCAGTCTTTCGGATCTAGAGTGCTGTCAACATTTAAAGTGAGCTATATTTAGAGGGGGCTAATGAAAAGCTGCTTAGCTAAGTCCAATTTCAGTTATGTGGGCTTGAGCAATAGTCTGGTCAAGCGTTGTTTTGTGCATTCTGGCAGGATCCTAATGCAGTCCAGCAGGATGTCTGCTTAGCTACTGAGCTGGGGTTTTATGGTCTTGTTTTTTTCTAGGAGCAAACGGACAGTGTGGTGTGGCTGCTACCTTCACTACTACCATTTTGTCATTTTCATTTTTGGAAAAGAAAACAGGACCAAATTTTGAAATGATGCATCTCAACTTGACAGCCTATTTTCTAAACACTGCATGGAGCAGCCACTGCGGTCCTGCTTACTGTGCTGTGGTCAGCTGCTTTTTCTCATTTTCAGTTATACTGTCCTCCATGCGACAGCCTCTTCATTTCTCTCTTCTTAATGCTCTGTGGCAGGCTGTCCTACCAGAGAAATGATGATGATGATGAAGAAGCTGCCAGAGAACGTCGCCGACGGGCTCGACAGGAGAGGCTGCGGCAAAAGGAAGAAGGAGATCTGTCAGGGGATGTAACAGAGAAATCAGAAGTTAATGCTCAGAACAGGTAAATGTTTGATGTTTACTGATGAGTCAGCTGTACTTTTTGTTTGGAGGAGGGACGTATTTTGAAAGGGTCAGCCATGCTACTTCAATTTTAAGCACCAGGTTTGGCCATCTTTGCTTTGAGAAGGACCTAATGCTGTGAGGAGTGCCACTGGCTGTGTCAACACAGTGGGGTGGGAGCATCACTGAGGCTAGGTTTGAGGCCATACTCATCACCCATTCCCAGAGTGTCTTCAGGCTGTCTATGGGGTAACACAGTCGCAGCTTAGTGACGGAAACCCCTCCAGTGCATCCTGCTGCCCCACAGACCTCCTCATAGTACTTCTTTTGTCTTAACACTAGATGAACAGACAAGAAAGTGTATGGTCCTGCTTATAGGGGCCATGCTCTCACTGGCAAAAAGGCATATGGTAGACACCTAGGCCTTAAGCTGTGACAGAAATATGCCTGTGAGATTCTGTGTGTAAGCACTAAACACCAACCCTCATCTGGCACTGCAGCTGTAAACAACAGAAAAGCTGTGAGGCATCACTTCTCACAAGCTGAGAGGGCAGTGCTGGTCTTCCACTCTGTCCATTTTCATGTATTCACATCTATTTTTACATATTCACATATTCATATTTAATGTTTTCAAATATTCCATTTTCTGTTCAGTTTCACATAATCACAAATAATATATCCAGATTTCCAGTAGCCATCATGCAGTTGACAGAAGAGACCAGAAATATAATTTGTGATAGCAAACTAACAGATGCTGAGCTCAAGTAGCATTCTATTAAATACAAGGAAAATTGATATAGATAAGTAAATGGCAACATTTCTGATTGCAGGTTAAATCTCTTTCTAGTATAAAGCAAACAAACAAGCAAAAATACAGTGAGAAAGAGGGAGCAAAATTGCATGTAGTAAAATTAAGCATCTGAATTTTAGAGGAGTCAAAAAACCTCCAGAGGCTGAGAGTGAGATCCAGTTCTGATACCTATAGGTGTTGAACAGCATGTCTTAAATTAGGAGCTATGCTCACTCAATTTTCTATCAGATTCATGTCTCTGTGTAGGCAATCACAACCATGCTGCACCCTAAATTGCCAGGTTATCCCCTTATGGACTGTGTTTGGGGATTTTGTTGCCAAACAGGGGTAGCCACCTTCTTGTTGCTAGAGAAGGTCACTGAAGTCAGAAGGTATCACTTACTTGTGTAGCATCTTAAAAATTTGTCTCTGGGCATAAGACAAGGAATTCTCAAGTATGCCCTCAGCCAAGCTGAAGAGGGCCTTAAAACTAGCTGAGGTCTTTCAAGTATTCTGCTGCAAGGTGCAGAGTGGGAGGATGATTTTTTCAGAGCTGTTTGTATTTCTGCTGTTCCAAGCATCAGGGCCCGGTCTAGTGCCTACTGAGGTCAGTAAAACTCCTGGGGACTTCAGCGGCTGTTGGAGCTCGCCTGGAAGGGAACCTTTCCAGGCTCTGACATTGTGAAACACCACATTCCTATACATGTAGAAATGCCAAAATTAATCCCTGGAACCATTTGGCTAAATTTTGAATTATGAAACCTGTTGTGTTTTCAAACCATGGAATGATGTTACAGCAAGCTTTTTTATTTTTATTTATTTATTTATTTTTAAGAAACAGCTAAGCATACATTGTTAGAAAGCTTTTTTAATGAGAAGTTGTCACTTTTATGTAGTGTGGCAGAAGATGAAACCAAACGTGCAACCACAAGGGGAGCAGATGACGAAGCTGCATTGTTGGAGAGACTGGCAAGACGCGAGGAGAGACGCCAAAAACGTCTACAGGAAGCCCTGGAACGTCAAAAGGAATTTGACCCAACGATCACAGATGGGAGCTTGTCAGTGCCCAGCAGGAGAGAAGTAAACAATGTGGAAGAAAATGAGACCACAGGGAAAGAGGAAAAGGCTGAAACGCGCCGAGGACGCTATGAGACTGAGGAAACAGAAACGGTTACCAAGTCATACCAAAGGAACAACTGGAGGCAAGATGGGGAAGAAGATGAAAAAAAAGAAGAAAAAGACAAGGAGGAGGCACAGGAGGACAAACCAAAGGAGGTACCCATAGAGGAAAATCAGGTAGATGTGGCAAAATCCACAGATAAAGAAGAGGTAGTAGAAACAAAAACTCTAGCTGTAAATGCAGAGGAACACAAAGCAGAAAATGATATGAATGCTGTGCAGGAAGGGGAGCAGAGTACAACTGATGCTGTAGATAAAGAGAAGGAAAAGGCTGAGGAAGAAAGGGAGAAACTCGAGGCAGAAGAAAGGGAGAGGTTAAAAGCAGAAGAAGAAAAGAAGGCAGCTGAAGAAAAGCAGAAAGCAGAGGAGGAAAAGAGAGCAGCTGAGGAAAGAGAGAGGGCTAAGGCAGAAGAGGAAAGGAAAGCGGCTGAGGAAAGAGAAAGGGCTAAGGCAGAAGAGGAGAGGAAAGCAGCTGAGGAAAGGGAGAGGGCTAAAGCAGAAGAGGAGAGAAAAGCAGCTGAGGAAAGAGAAAGGGCTAAGGCAGAAGAGGAGAGGAAAGCAGCTGAGGAAAGGGAGAGGGCTAAGGCAGAAGAGGAGAGGAAAGCAGCTGAGGAAAGGGAGAGGGCTAAGGCAGAAGAGGAAAAGAGGGCAGCTGAAGAAAAGGCTAAGCTAGAAGCAGAAAAATTAAAGGAAAAGCAAAAGATGGAAGAAAAGAAAATAGAAGATAAGCAGGTAAAAGAGAAGAAAGTACAAGAGGAAAAACCTCAAGCAGCTTTCCTAAAAAAACAGGTACAGTAAACATTTTGCACCAAAATAAGACACCTGTTGTTTGTGAGAAATGTAATGCAAGAACAAAAAGATTGAATTGGAATTTCCTCACAGATCTGTTTCTGCATTTAAACAACTAATACCCATGCTGTCTGTTTTTTAAACTAAAATTCCTTGTTTCTGCTTATCAATAATGAAGTGCATGACATGCCTGTCCTCACTCCATTGTTCAGAGCACACCTTGCATGTTCAGAGTTCTGCATTTTTATTTTTTTTTTGCTGCCTTTTTTTCTCAACTGCTGTAAGCTGGCCTGCTGCAGTAACACATGAAATTGAGGCAAACACAAGTTGACACAAAATATTATGAGCACCTGGTAAACTGTGTGAGGAACCACGTGTGTTAAATGCAATCACAATAAGGGGTTCTGTGCTGGGACATGTGAGCATGATGCTGCACAAGGGAGAAAGCCCAGATGGGGGAATGGAAGGATTTGGAGAGGGTAGAGGGAGCACAGCTGCACTTGGAGATGTGGGCACAGCAACATATGAAAGACATGGCTGCACACAGGTTTGGTACGTGAACACGGTGTGGAGAAACAAAACTGCAAACAGATGCTCATAGAATGGTGTTTTCATATCTTACTTACAAAAATATTAAAAACCTACAAACAAAGGAGGAAGACAAAGAGGCTAAAGTGGAAGCTAAAAAGGAAAAGTTACCAGAGAAGCTTCAACCTGCCTTCAAAAAAGATCAGGTAACTTATAAACCACTGATTTAGATGTTGCAGGGAAACTTAAGAAAATAAATAAGGAACCTATAACTGAAAGTTGTTTGTTCAACAAAGTACTTAAACGTGCCTTACTTCAAGAACATGGGTAATCCTGCTGAAATAAATAGGGATGAAGCTACTTATGGTGCTTAACATTAAGTATATGCTTAAGTGTTTTGTTCTTTTAGGGCCTTACAACCAAGACCTGTTTGTCTTAGAACAAATACTTCAGTTAAACTCAGGTCAGGCAATAATACAAGGATGGTTTGCACCTTAGGGATGAATTTTTCAACTAATCATCCTTCCCTGGTTTCCTCCCACTTTACTGTGAACTTTTCCCCTATGACTGAGACCTGCTCTTACCATAACAATAACAATAATCTAGGCCCTTTGGCCACCTGAATGCCTTAACTAATGATTTTCCCCCAAACTGCAATGTCCCGTGATATAAACTGTGCATACCCAAGATTCTTCTTTTGTTTTAAAGAGAAATTCTACAAAATTTACTGCATTGCATTTCCACTGTAAACACAGGAGCTGGTGCCATGGTGTTTTACTGTATGGTAAGTAAATAAGATTTGGGAACCATTTACTCTTCAGGTTACAGCTGGCAAACAGGGAGCCAAGTTCCATTTTATGCAGCACCTGAGCTTTTGGGTCAATGTAGCAGGTATCAAAATGGCCCCTGATCCTGGCCAGACCTTGGGACTAGTCATCTTCTTGCAGGTTTGCACCCGTTTAGGTTCAGCCAGCTCCACGTGGCTTAAAGGGAGCCACAGCACAGAGATTTAGTAACAGGCAGCTTGTTGCCAGTGCAGCTGCCTTGAAGTGCTGAGGGCTACAGAGAGTCTGGTCCAGTGTCCTTAGTTGTAGGAAGGCAGCTTGATTAATTCAGAACATGCTGCAGAAGCTTAGCTTACCCTCAAAGAGAGGTGAGGGCAAATCATGTAACAAGGTTTTCTGTCCAGTTACCTGAGTTGACTGCGCATATTTTTAGTAAGGTACAGGAAAAAGCAAATAAAGTGGTGAAGATGGTTAAAAGATTGGTTTCAAAATGAACAGGGAGAGAGACTGGCAATACTAAAATAACTTAGTCTAGAAAGGGAAAGAGTTAAATGAAGCCTAGGAGATACGTCAAAATAATGCTTTAAAAAAATGAAATAGTCACTGTACCTGATTACCCTGATTGTGAAACCAGAGGAAGGAACTGTGCAGAAAATAAGGGATGGATTATATTAAAAGCTGTTCATATGATGGAATCAGCTTGTAATATTCACTGTTGCACACAATCATTGAATATTCCAAGTAAATGTAAAAAGTGGGCTGTAAATGTTTGACCGCAAATATTGATTTGGGGTGAGGAGTACTTGAGACACAGTCATCCTGCTTATGTTTGTGTGGAGCTTGATCAGCACTCCGTGGTGTTTCCGTCATCCTTTTCAGCCATGCCTACAAGGCTGGATTCTTCCAGGAAATTTTTGAAAGTAACTTGTGATATTAGTACCTTTTGGATGATCAAGGTGAGACAGTTTGAGAGAGTACCACTTTTGGTGCAATGCTGAATATGCATCCACTGAAAGGTTAAACTTTTACACGTGTATCAAGCTGAACATTCAATATGTTCTGCTCAGGTTTGAAAACCTCGGTTGTTGCTTCTTGGCTCTTGAATTAAAAATGACAGTCTCAGACTCCAAACAAAGTCAAGGTCAGGCTCGTATCTCCACTTCTTCCCCCCGTGCAAGAATGTATAAATTCAGTGAGGCTATTTTAGACATGTATATGGAGTTAAGAGGATAGCATTATCCTCTTAGTAGTGAACAAGATGCTGAAGGAATACTTAACCAGATTTGCTTCCGCAATTGTGCAACACAAGTACATATCCTTTCTTAATGTGACCAAAATCTGGTCCTCAAAGCTCAGGTTTTGATCAAATTAGCAAACAAAATCTGTCTCCTTCTCTGAACTGCCCCACAATTTTGGGTTCTCAAAACTGGCCTGGAAAGTTCATAAGAACAAGCTTTCTCATGATGTGAGACTTCTGGTATTTCCTGCTTCCAGTTTGGCTAGACGTACCGCAATGGTTGCTTTTCTCATGGTATTTGGGTATAGTCGTTGGCTCTAAATGGATGCCCTAGACCCAGATGCCCACAGCTTTTAAGTCACCAAGAAACTGAGCCCAAGCAAGGAATAAAATTTGCCAAATGGCCCCAACCTCAGTAACTGATTCAGTGTTTTCTGAGAGTGTTCAAGTCCTAGATTTAGAAAACTTGACTCTCATATATAAATATATAAGCCTAACAGGAAAGAAGTAGCATGGAGAAAGATTGAAGTATAAATAAATTATGTTGAAATTAGCTAAACGTGCTTTTGGCCAGGTTCTGTTTTTACTTGAGGGTCAAGATTTGAGAGACAGTGCAAACTGTGTTCAGTTCATGTAATGCCACCCATCCACTCCATCTGTAATCAGAGTAGTCCTTTTCACTAAATTCAGTGGGAGCTGAACTCATCTGTAATTCAGGGAAGCACTGATACAAGAGAAAATAATTTTCCTGTTGCCTTCCTCTGGAATGGGACATAATGGATTCCATTTCTTTGCTAATCAGTCACAGTTTTGGCATTAAAATTAGTAGGAAAAGTATTGGACATGAAAGCTGTGAAATGTTTGTGTTATATCTTGTTTTATTATCTTTTTGAATAAAGAAGCCAAGCTGCAGTAATGGTTTTCTCAAATGCACACATATTACCATAAATCCTACTGCCTTCTGAAATGATGTTTCTTAACCTATTAATTTTTAAACTATATTGTTTTAATATTAGTTTTCTCAGCAATTTCAATTAAGATGTAAGAGATATGACCTTCCCCAGTGGACTTCAATACATCAGGCAGCTGGAAGATTGGCTTTTTAATGAGACTTAGAAAGGTCTTCATGAAAATCTCAGCAAAGGAAATCCTATGCTCTCAAAATCCCAACACAGACATCCTGGCATTTGAAATCTTAACAACAATCAACGTCGTGGGTCTCCATATCACCCTGTCTGGGACTGAAGGTTTAAGAGATTGCCAACAGACAGCAGAGATTTATTTATTTATTTATTTTTATTTATTTTTTTTATTTTTTACCATGTCACTGGCTAGAATCTTGCCCAGATTTGGGAGCGCCCAAAAGACATTACTGTCCAGCGGCATTCATTAGACTCAATGAATAGCACTGGTTGTCTCAGCACAGCTCCTAGAAAACAGAAAGACATTCCATGAGGCAACTAGCAATAATGGCCTTATTTGCTAGCAGTCACGGCATCACAGCCAAAGAATGCACGGCCATGGAAACTGAACTCCCCTCTTGTCATCAGGGCAGGGCTGCGAGGTCGTAGCTAGATCTCGTTGGCAGGAGCACGTGGGGAATGTCTGCACTGCTGCTGCCTGCTCTTGGGATAGAGCAAGCGTCTCTGTGCCTTGTGTCCAGCATCACTCCCTGGTGTCAAACTTGCTTGAGTAGTATGACCACCCAGCACTGACTTGTGGTGTGTGCCACCTCCGCATTGCCTGCTGTTGGCTTTTATCTCTAGGTGCAGTTTGGAACTCAAAAGCTGCTCAAAGCTGCTGTGTTGCAGACAGGACTGTTATGGTTATGGAAATTATTTTATTTTATTTAAGATATTTAAGATAGCAAATGGGATGGTGACAAGCTTTCAAGTAACAGAAGATTATTATTATGATTTTCTTGCTTGCCCACTTCATCCAATATGGTACAGCTGGGAAAAAAAAAAAAAAAAAAGATTTTGGGGATTTTTGTTTTCCTCTGCTTCTGTTGAAAGTTTATTTAGGCTGCTAGTCCAATTCATTTTCTTAGTGGGAATAATTCTGCCTGAGGACAAAGTACTTAAATCAGTCCATATCAGCATCCAGCCATGACTCAGCATGCTAGGATCAGTCTGTCTCTGGTATTGATAAAATACTTCAAGCCCACAACTACAGAGGGATACTGGAGAGTGAAATCCATGCTCTAAATATACTTGATTTCTCGTTAAAAAATATATGGCAAATCTTTGTGAGGATGGGGGGAATTTTTGCCTTAGTGTTTCCAGAGAAAACCTGTGCTTCTTCATAGGATTAGATATTCACTGATAGTGTCTGATAACTAGCTATCAATAACTAGTCCCTGGTAGGACTATGCTTTTTGTCAGACTTGTAACTTTTACTCTGATAAAAGATTGCTTTGTATGTTTGTCATTATAGATGTGGTATTAAAGTATCCACCTGCTGTGACACTGGAAATGCTAGGTCTGTTCTGGTAGCACACCCTTGCTGTGCTGCAGAATGATCTGCATATATCCAAATAGCATGAACTTACCTTATCCAGCAAAGTTGGCAACTGGTGAAGGTTACAAACGATTCTGTTGCTTCAATGCTCTAAACCTTGTACCAAGAACATAACAACAGTCCTAGTCCCAGAGGGTTTGCAGCCCACGTTCGTCATAGGCTGCAGTGGAAGGGGGGAGGATTGGGATGCCTGAGGAAGGTGCAATTGTAGAAAGAAGTGATGTGGTAGCAAAGTCCCACAGATGCAACAAACTTTCACAGAAGACTGATGATTTTAGATGTTTTCATCTTGAATTCAGGTCAGGCAGGCAGGGTGATGGATGATCACATTTTTGAGCTTTGCAGACTACTTCTTCCGTAAAGCACATATGCATTGTGAAGACAGTTACTTAGTTAATCTCTAAGATTAGTAAATCACTTGGTTAATACCAAGAAATTTGTGTTCCTTGACTGTTATTTATAATGACTCACTGTGACTTCTCTCTCTCCCCCCCCCTATGATTTACGGTATCTCCTGAGCAGGTAAAAGATGACAAGGATAAAGAAAAAGCACCCAAGGAGGAAATGAAAAGTGTCTGGGATCGTAAAAAGGGAGTTCCTGAACAAAAAGCACAGAATGGAGAACGTGAAATCACTTCCCCCAAACTTAAATCTACTGAGAATGCTTTTGGGTAAGTTCCAAGTGAGCATGGGGCTTGTTTATGCTAGAACAAAGCAGGGGGCCTTCTCAGGGGTCTCTCTTTAATGGCCTTGTGGCAGCTGTGGAGAAGACTTACACTGGCATCATGAGTGGAAGCTCTGGTGTTCACTGGGTGGTTAGGTTTGAATTAAGGTTGTTGGCCTGTTTTCTAATGGACTGCCATCCCTTTGTTACAGTGACAAAACAAGGTACAGAAAGCAGATATAAACAGTACCTTGCACCCTCAGTAGAGATGAGCAGCTATTTTTCTCTGCTGGAATTTTCCTTCCTTGAGGGACTTTCGATTAGAATTTCATTCTAATATCTGCACAGAGTCCAGTAATGACCAGATTTTTCCAGATTTTGTAGTGTCTAATATTTTTAATCAGATCTCAACCTTAAATAACTCATTTTCCAATTATACCTCTGCTTTTAATCAGACTGCATATCAGTACGAAGCACAATTCAATTGGTAACTCTTGATAGAACTTCTCTCTTGATTTCAAGGCAAACCTTCAAATTAGTGGCTTATCTACAAAAGTGAGTTTTCAGTTAGATGAAAACCTCTCCTAGCCTATATATATATATATATATATATATATATATATATATATATATATACACACATATATTTGTCTTTTTAAAAGTTGCATTGTTATATATATATATTTTTTTCTTTTGAAAGAAACACTGGCCTTGTGGCTGTATTGGGAAATTCAGTGAAGGTAACAAATTGCTAAGGAAGTTTATTAAAAAGGGATTCTGCCTGCTAAAAGGAAGGGAATAAATGAAACAGAGCACAAATTCTTCCTTCTAGCAGAGGAACATGAGTTGGTTAGAAAACTTTTTTTTTTTTCCTTCTGAACTTCTCTTTCTCTTTTACATTGGCACAGGCAAAGAAAAGGTTAAAATCTCCAGGCATGCTTAGAAATCCATGTAGGTCAGATGGGTTTTGCTGTTATATCTCAGCATTCCCCTTGTGATTCTTCCGGGAAAACCAAACTTTCTCAAAATAAAATGCAGTTCATAAGGCCCTGGAGACACCCTGACCTAAGGCCAAAAGACAGAGGGAGTCAGGCAGCATGGAGATGGGATAGCAGGAAATGGGCCTTGCTTAGAACTGTCCTGCATCATGACTTGGGTCATATCATCAATAATATGAGAACGGTTTTCTAAAAATATTTTTGTTGTGTTTTCATTTGGTTCACTTCCTGTGGGAGACAGGACTTAGTGGCAACATGTAGATCTGTATTTCCACTCATTTTTTCTTCTCCTGTTTTTTTTTTCCACTCTTTCCCAAATGTGTGAAGAAGTGTGTCTAACCTAAGGCTTTCTTTGGAACTGTCTTCTTGTTTTTACATGAACACATCAGATACTCATTAGGAAGCATGTAACTTGGCTAACTCTCAATGGTGAGGATTGAGAATAAAATAGGGTAGTGAAGGCTAAAGAAAAATCTTATCTGCGTCTCGTTTGTCCATGTCAGCCAGAAAATTACTGAAAAAAAAATACATATATTTTACAGTTTCTCTTTCCCATCTCCCCTCCCACCTACCTTTCTCCCCATTTTCATGCAGGACTGGAAAAGTCCTAAATATGAAGTAACACGTTCTTCACATTGTTCTGACATTTTTGGCTCCCACAAACCACTACTTCCCTTTTCCTCCTTGTCTGAAAGCTGGCAACCAATTTCATTTCTTAGCACCAAAGAGGTACTTATGAAACTATTCCTCCACCCAGCATCTCAATGCTAATTTCTCAATCTTGACAATAGGGAATGGAGATTCCCAGAATCTGTTGAAAACAGAGGATTTTGGGAGCTGGAGGAAAATACAGAGAATTACTGCCAGCTTATTGTTTCCTATTTCAGATTATGCGGAGCCAGTAGGGGAAGTCCTGTGTGCTGCATGAGAATAAAATGAGCTAGAAACTTAAATGATCTTCACTGTAAGAAGGACAAAACAGTCACCTGAGGTCTCCAAAGAAAAAAAATAAAATTAAGACTAGATTCTACTTTTGGCTTTTATGAGTTGAAGGTTGAGAGTACTTGTTGATTTCTTTGAGGCCATCTGCACTGAAGTCAGTAAGGACTAACCTTTCTCATATACTGATATAAAACAGAGCAGTTATTTATTAAGAGAATCGGAGTAACTGCTATGTTCTTAGCTCTCTTAATTTTGAGTGCTGAGCATTTGCCCTTGCCAGTGATATCATTATACCTATCAAAGGTGACCTCTTTCACCATTTTGTAGATCTGGCTGGGCTGACAACACTGAGTTTAGAGGGCAAGAGCAATAAATAAATAAACAAATAAATAAATAATTAATAAATGAGTTTCCTGGGATGTTTGTTACAGAGGTTGCAAGCCTACAATGAAGCAGGAAAGCCTTACAAAAAATGGATTTCTTGTGGGCTGCACAGGATAAATGAATTGGATCTTTAGAAATACTTGGTGCCCTATGGGGTTCATGGGTTGTTCTGGATTCTTGTGACCTCTGTGAACTAAATCAGAGGTATTTCAGGGTGAACACCCAAAAGTTTACCTCAAACCTCAAGTTTTGATCCTTGCTTTGTTTTTGAATAGTCTAAGTGAAATTTCAAATAAAGCTTCCAATGTTTTCTCACAATGTTTTAGTTATTTGTATATATGTTTTATATTAAAAAAGCACAAGGGTTCCTCTCTTTAAATAGGTGTCACTATCTGATGCAAGCCCCTATCAGTGACCCCTCACAACAACATGACTCTTATGGTGGAAGGTAAACTTCTGGTTCTACTTTCCTGGATTAAGTAATTGCACTGCAAAAACACATTCAGGAATAGGACCTAGAGGAAAAAAAAAAAAAAAAAAAAAAAAAAAAAAAGGATTGTGGTCAGGTGATGTTAGGGAAATATGTGCTATGTACCTAAAACTCTAGATTAGAAAATCAAGTATGAAAGTGTCTTAGGGATACATAAATTCACAGATATCTGGGAGCTTTTTTTGTTTTTGTGTTTTTTTTTTTTTTTTTTTTTTGTTGTTGTTTTTTGTTTTTTCATTACTTTTTGATGTTATATATAGAAAAGACTTCCTAAAACCAAATAAACACATTGCAAAATAAATGTCAGGTCTTACTACTTTGGTGTTGAACTTTCACAGATGAATTCCAACAGGTGAGATTCACATCCCAGGGTCAGTTTGGTTATGCTGGCATTGTTTTTTAATAATACAATTCAAAAACCATGCACTCTACCCTGCTGCAGCTGAGTTTCATCCCAGTCAGTAAGACCATGTGGGGGCAGGGTAAGCTGTGTTAGCAGATCCTATTGCAATATTGAAACTACAGATAATTCAGCTCTGATTCGATAACCTGTTCTAGATGGTTAACCCTATGTAGATGAAGGATCCGTCTGAATGAAGAGTACATTTACAGGACTGGGTGTTATTCACCAGACTGCAAATTTATATCATATTTGTTATTCATGTTGTCATCTCCAATCTCATCATCGCTAACAGTTATTATTTTTGTTGGAACACTTGATTTATACTGTCTCATGACATTAAATTCTGCAACACTCTGGCTCAATTAATGAAGTCATTAATATCCAGCTTTTCTAAATGTCAACAGAACAGAGCAGAAAGTTCTTTAAAAAATCAGTAAGTACATTCCTTTTCTGTCCCTTGTCAATAGCACACTGATTCCTCTGTGTTACCTATCTCCTTGTCAGCGGTAATACTAAACATGCTCAGGGAGCAGACATTTGACTAAACACTGTTGTGGTAATTGTTTAACTAGGTGATACTATCTGACTCTGTTGAAAGTATGCACTTTGCCTATACAAATAGTTTTTTTTTTTTTTTTCCTTGTATTCTTTCTGTCTGTCTCTTGTATTAGAGCTGACTGGAAAACTTCTGTTTTTCTTCTGTGGAAGGGGTCATCATTAATAAATTATTGCCAGTTCCGTAATTAAAGTCATACCTTCCCTGGAAACTTTCAGCAAAAGATGAACCTTTATATTCGTACAATCTTGCTGAGTCCAAGTGATAGGTGCTTTAGATTAGGTAGGGACCTAACAGTTTTTAAAACTGTTGAAACTGTAGGAATCTCACCACTCTTGTTTCCTCCTGTGTTCCTCAAGTGAAGTAACTGGTTCTGTTCCCAAAGATACTTGTCCTTTTCTAAAGGGATTATATAAAATATTTGCCTTAGAAAGCAAAGGGTTATGCATATTTTATAACACAGAATATAGGAGAGTATCTTTGCTCTTTTTTTTAAATTTTATTATTATTTTTTTTTTTATATGTAAATTTGTCTCACTTAAAACCAGCAGAAAGGAATTAGTTATGGTTTTCCATTGCTTTGTTTTCTGCATAAAGTACAGTATACTTTTTGGAAGTGCTTCTTCTGTACAAAAACTGCAAGGCAGAGATGTGAAACTTCAGTGGTTTACTGTATACCATGGAGATACTGATAAGATATGTCTTGCTAAAGTTACATGAGATGTTAAATATTTCAAGCTCATTAGCTGAGTTGTGATAAAACTGGAGGTGGCCTGCATTCTCAGCTACAGTGGTACAGTCCCTGCTTTACAAGTACATGAGACTGCTTCCTTTCTGGCAGCAGATAGGAGAGGTGTTCCTCCAAGTATCCCAGCCTACTTAGCTCCCAACAAAAATGCTTTGTGTTCAGTGTAGTTTACAAGGAGCAAAAGATCTTGAGAGGCAGTATCCTCATATCGCTGGTGAATGTGGGGCAGGAGGATGGCTCTGGCTAGGAAGGGAAAACCTGTGGTGCATTAACTTGCCTTTCATTTCTTTCCCAGCCGCTCCAACTTGAAGGGAACTGCGAATGCTGAGGAAGCAAAGGCAGGGTCCCAGGTAGAGGCTGGAAAGCAGGAGGCAGCTGTGGAGCTGGACGAACTGAAGAAAAGGCGGGAGGAGCGCCGGAAAATCCTGGAGGAAGAGGAGCAGAAGAAGAAGCAGGAAGAAATTGAGAGAAAGGCCAGAGAGGAGGTAAGTGTAAAGTAAGACATATTGATCTCCGGTTTTAATCCCTTATTGTTACTACTTTGCTTAAATCAGCCATGGATTAGATGGTAACTCTTTACAGCAGTGTCCGTACAGGCACCTTTTGGCAAAGAGGTCATTGGGGCTGGATGAGAATGTGTTTGTATTTAACAAAAGGGCAGAAGGAGGCCATAGGAGACTTGCACATAGGTGACGATGGAGTGTACAACAAGGAAGGCAAGACTAAACCCAAACCTGCAGCCTAAAGTGGGCTTCTCTTTCTTGGATGTGATATTGTTGGAGTACTGTGTGGGAATTTGCTGCCATGACTTTGCTTCAGGTTGTACATTTGCTTCAGGTGTCCCTGTCTGGGAGCTCTATTTGTATCGTGTGCTCTTCTGGTCATGTGTCAGGACATGGTCTGTTGCAGTTATTTCAGATATGGTACCAACATTAAAATTGCCCCATTTACCCTTCAGATTTAACTGCAAGTATGCCATGTTTGATATCAAACATGACCACATCACAGAGGTATTCTTGTGAGAACCTGAGGTAAAACATGCAGGGCACCAAGAAAAACTGCAGTTCTTGTCTCTGTCTGAGAAAAGACAAAGCTGTAGTAACGTCTTCACGAGCCAGGATGTCATCTACAGCAGTTGTAACTTTCTTATCTTGGGTATGCGAGATTCTGGAGGCAGCGTTATAGCCACAGACTTCTTAGTTTATTTGCAGTCCTTTTGATGTGGCACAACTTGAATTACAAAGTGCATGGCAAAAATTTGTCTCCTGTAGATGAGCTGGAATGCTGATGTTATATATAGTTATGATGGGCAAGATCTCATTAGGAAGATATTCTTGTCTATTTAAATATCAAGTACCCAAGTACATCTGTTCGCTTATGCTTCCTCTGCCAAGGGACTCTATAAATAGATTTTCAAATCTCTGGTGCATCATTTAGGAATCTTACATGTTTGGAAAACAAATGGTGGAAGAATAATAATAGCATTAGCAGATGAATGCCAATTGCTTTAATATGGTATGCTCTTTATAGTACAATTCAATAGATGCTGAGATTGCCCAGTGACTTGCTGTATAACAGACCTTGCTAACCAGCACACACAGTGGTTGTGCTTGGAGGGCTTCTGGTTTGACTTGTAGGTTATGAAGTAAAAACTCAAGTTATGTCTCTGGAGGGAAAATTATAAGCACTTCCTCTTCACTTTTGGGGCATCTGTTGAATTTTCCATGTGAAGTATTAACCTTAGCACATGTGTCAGAGCAGATGGAGAGAAGTACAATACAAAGGTGACACATGAGGGTACAGAGAAACTGAATCTGGGAAACCAAATGAGACTATGGGAGTTTATGTTTCTTGCATCTGTTTAGACAAACTGGAATCTGTGCAATCTGTTTGATTGACTGGTTCTCTTGTAAACCTGTTTGCATCAATACTCAGAGCACATCTAAGTGTTCTTCCAAAATGTTTTTAAATGTGTGTACAACTACAAAAAATGATATTAGGCTTCTGAAATCCAGTTCATAATGAAACAGCATTTTTATAAATGAGCTTTATTCTCTCTTTAAGCAACACTACATGACAATAAGGCTGGTGACTTCCCTGTGAGGAGAGACTAAAGTAACGGAATAGCTGTCTTCCTCACTTATTTAATAATACGATGAATTGACATCAGAATGTCTTTCTGATATAAGCTTTCATACAAGTCCCTGAACTAGCATAATTCCCTGGCTAGCATAAATACCTGTTCTTAGAAAGTGTGCTAAATTTTTGCAGGACTACAAAGCCCTGTAATGGTGATGTAGTTTCTGAAAGAAGAAATAACCTTTATTATTTGGTTAGGAGGAAAAGAGGAGGATGAAGGAAGAAATTGAAAGGAGAAGGGCTGAAGCTGCTGAGAAACGTCAAAAGATGCCAGAAGATGGTGTATCTGAAGAAAAGAAACCATTTAAATGCTTCAGTCCTAAAGGTTCATCTCTCAAGGTAACCTCCCCACTAACTTCTATATAGTACAGAAAAAGTAATAGGAGCTGCAGTTCAAACCAATTGCTAAACACTGAAGCATTGCATAAATACTTGATATCAGACCTGGGCCAATGTTCTGAAATAGGCCTTTGCCTAAAACCTTCAGCTGAAAGACTCCATTCATTCGGATGACTCAACATTAGAAACCCTTTTTAAAATAGTCTATCATGGCAGTTACCTGTTGTTGGTCAAGAATGTCCAAAAAGATTCTTTACCTTCAAGAGGAAGGATACTTAGAGTTGCATTACTGTGCTGATTTTCAATGTTAATTTATTATAGGACTGCTTTGTGAACTGGAGCAGAAAAGATCACACATAGAACATTCTCTTCTTTCACAATGCCACTGTCTTCTTCCACAATTACTTTCTTCCTTGCCAAATTACTTTGTCTTTAAGCATATTCAACCTAATCATCATTAATTTAAATTGTCCCATATGGTAGTTCTAGCTTATGTCTAAACCCTCCAAAACAACATCTAGAAACACTGGGATGGATTTTATTTTCTTACATGATATTAAAAAAAAACAACAACAACAAAACACCTTCTCTTGCTGCAGGAATTTCTAACTGGTCTTCTGAGGCCTATATTATTTCGGATGTCAGATAAATCAATTAAATGACCTTTTGGCATGGAAAAGAAATCTTGGCCTCTCTGAAATTATTAGGAATTCTGTTTTGATATTTAGTCTAGTCACTTCCTCAACTCAAGCTAAAACTACAGATCTGTTAATCATATTCACCCATCTTTTCCTTTTTTCCTTGTGAGGAATTAGTCAGGTAAGAATCCAAAAAAATACCACTTAGTGGGCACTAGAAAGAAAAAGAACCAGTCAGGACATTGTCAGGTAGGAGTTTATGTTGGGTCATGAAGGGTATCTCCATGGGATTAAGAAGTGTGTGTCATGCGTGACAAGCTGCATTTGGACAGAATGACATTTCTGCTCATACAGCTTGCTCTTTGAGCTTCAACCCTATACTGCTTTGGGTCCTGTTCCAGGTAATACAGTGGCCAAATGCTTTTGGCTAGACTTGGGTTTGACTCCTCAGGCACATCTGAACATGAAATTCGAGGACAGAATACATACAGCTGTAAACAAAGATTGCCAAGTTGCTTCCCAACTCCCACCTGTTAGATAAACCTGGTCTTGCTATTTTGGTTGCTAAAGAATGTCAAGAATTGTCAAGAATGGATAGTGTAATTGTACAGCTTCTTCCTAGTCCTCCTGAGAGGGCTTCTTTTTCTTCCTTCTGTCTGTTGAGATGCCTTTTATGACATACACTTGGAGCTGTAGTTCACAGATGACTCATAAGAAAGGAAATTATACTTGAGTATGCATAATAGCAAGATATAGATCATAATTTTGGGGAGAGCGGGACAAAACAGTGGATTTGGCAGGAGGTTAATAGGTTTCAGAGAGCTTTTGGGCTGATGCTACTAAGTGTATTTTTAGAGGAAAGCTGGAATTTTCCAAATGTTGTTAAACATTTGAGGTCTGATTTTTTATGATGATAATTGCTGCTGGTTTTATGACTTGTTAAGTAGAAGTTTTTTTTTGTTACAAAAACTAATCTATGCAACTCTGTACATATTTTTTTCCCTTTTCTCTCAGTCTCTCTCTCTGAGAAATTGGTGATACTGTAGATATTTCGGTCTGGTGTCTGTGGGCAGCTAGAGCATACATATAATGCTGTCAAAACTTCATGCCCTAAAAAGTTTCTTGGCCTTCTGTGGTCAGTAGCTGAGAAGGCAATAATCTAGTTTTAAAAACCTGATGCCAACTTTGAGCATTTAGAAGACGGTATCTATTGTCACCTTTTGTTTGGACAGAATTCTCATGTTGGCCTAGCCTGTTTGGTATACATTTCTCTCATTAGGCTAGCATACAGTGACCAAGTTATCTTTTGACTGGTAAAGCATCTGGCACATATTTTCTTCCTTGATGAATGTATTATCTAGTTAGATATGTCATGAATCGTGTGAGAAATATAAATACTCCATTGTCAGTGGAGAGTTGGAACTGATGATGAAAAAAGGAGGCTCAGTATTAAAAGACCATACGATGCATATGCACATTGTCTTCTCCTAAATCAGTCTGGCAAAGCATGCTCTCCCATCCCATTCTACCTCTTGCTCTCCCTAGTTTAGTTCACACAAATGGTACTACAGTGAAAGAATGAGATTTTCTGCCCAGTCTTTATTGGTTTTGCCTTTTAGACAGTTTCATTACTCATGTTTTATTTGGGAAGGAGTGATCATTACATCTTGAGCAACTGCTCCTAAATTTAATCAGGAGTAAACAGGGTATTTTGGTACTGATTCTCCTCTGTTGGTGGGGGTGAGCTCCCCCACTACAGAAATGCAAAAGCAGTTAGGTACAGAAGGGAGGAAGCAACAGCAGGTGGCCAGGGGCAGGTTATCTCCTGCAGACATCTCCAGGGAAACATGGGCTTATGTGGCAACCAGCGCTCCCCACAAGGTGATGCTGACAGCTAAGACTGAAGCAGGACTTTTCAGGGCTTGAGATTTTTGTTTTTACTTTTTCCTTGAAGACCTATCTTTTCCTATCTCAGTATTGCTTAATACTGGAGAACTGGAGCACTGACTGGAAAGAATTAGACTACATGCAATCAGTGCTTTCTAGGAGATGAGCTGCTCTTGTGGCAGATGGAAAACAAAGGAGTAAGGACAGGATTGTTAATGCTTGTTTTTCCCCCTTTTTGCTGCTGTAGCAGCACCCTAGTCTGCCAGGTAAACTGGCATAAAATGGCCTGCTCTGCACAGATGCTGCTGACAACAGGAAAAAGCCTAACTGTGCTTACTTAATGAAGCAAAAGAGCGTGGGAGGCTCAGGAGAAGCCACTTTACTCCCAGGGACTACCACTCAGAATGGATTTTCACCAGGTTCTTCCACCTGTCAGGCATGAGTTGAAATTATAATGAAGGGATTTCTGTCTTTATACATATTTCCTCTTCCCTGTCTCCCTTGGCCCCATTTTTCTGAAAATAATTTTCACTACGTCAGTTTAAGGCACTTTTTGTTGTTAATATCTAATACACAATTTAAAATTCCTAAGAATCATTTAAAAACTATGCATGAAACAAATGTTACTGGAAATATTTAGATGGTGCTTGTTTTTCAAGTCATTGACTTTAACTGTGTATTAACTCATTCCTTTCATTCAGTTTCTGTTCTTGGAGGATGTACAGATGGAAGGAAGTGCATTTATGACTCCTACACTTTAACTGGATTTTTAATAAGCAACCATTTTTTTTTGCACAATCAGCAAACCAAACATGTCTATATAACATTGCATATGGATAAATGCATATATATATATATATATATACACACACACATATTTTTGTGTAGCATCTTGCTTATTTTATTCCTTGTGTGCTATCCCTATCGAGTAAGGCTGTGATTAGCTGTGAAACTCTGCTTGCTTTTTATTTGTGTCCAGTGGTGGCTACTGCCATGAATCAGGCAGAGTACCTCGCAGCAGTATGTGCAACAGAGACCCTGGTGCATGTTGCTGCCCTGAAGGGATGCAGTTAAAAGGCTGTGTGTTCTTGCTGAGCTGATGCAGAGTTACCAGCTTTAATCCTGTAGGCAGGAGCTAGCTCTCTGAGGCAGGAGGAGGAGGGTTTCATTTCATCTAATGTTACCAGCAGAAGGACAGGTGTAACTGTCCTTCTCAGGATTTTGTTGTGCAGTGTAACTTCTTCAGTAGCTGAGAGAGTGAGGAGAGAGCGAGTCAGCCGTGATGGACAAGCAAGCCCACGCTCCCTAGAGTGAGGTGAGCTCCTCTGTCTCTCCACTGACTGTGGAGGGAATTAAAATGAGCAGTTTGGACTAAATGCTTAACTTACAAGCAACTGAGGTTAGGTGGGAGAGGTAAAGCCTGGAATCCTATATTTTTTTTCTCTCTGGTCATAGTTTCATTAGCCACTGGCAGGTTGACTCGATGGGGTACATGTGTGTTTTATGTCAGAGGCTTTGGAAAGTATGCCATGCTGACAAAATATAATCCCAAACTATTTTACAAGATTCTGTTAAAGAGAATATAGCAAAATAAGTTCTTTTTATTTCTTGATTTCTAGTTGAGGAAATAACCTTGTTTTTTTCTGATAACCACCTTGCTTTATCTGTTTGTCTTACAGATCTATTTTGTAATATTGTTTACTGTATGTGCCAAACATTTTAAACTATTTGCATGGACTTTGTGTGGAGTGCAGTGGATAAATAAATAAATTTTAATTTAAATGTTGCTGTGCAGTTTAAATGTATTTGACCTATATGTTGAATACATTTGTGTGTACAGGTGTGTTTGCTCTAAGTGTATGCAATGTGTTCTGTTTGCTGCATGCACAGTTTTGAGGCAGATGCTCTATAAAACAAATCCTTATAAGTGTGGAAAATGCGTTATCCATCCCCCTGAGGCACGTGCTTCCTTGGGAAGAAGACCATGTTCAGCTCTGAGGGCTGCTTCCTAATTGCTCTCCTGTTTAACTTACTTTCTGGTTTGTTTCCCCACCCTCCTATTCTGAACAATCCCCAGCTTATTCCTAACACCACAGCAATTGCTCAGAGCATTGCTGTTTCCAGAGGGTAAGGAATAACTCTGCATCCTTTCACTTCAGCCCCAAGAACTCATATCCCCTTTTTCCCTGGCCTGTCCCCCAGTGCCTATGCCAGCTGTTTTTTTGCGCTGTATAGAAATGCCTTTCCTTTCTGAATATAGGAAGGCTATGGAGTCTAGTGGTTAGCTTCTTTTAAACAGCTTTTAAGACGTGTCCCTTTTGTATGAGTTCAAGTGGAACCTGTGTTAATCTGAACTAGAAAGATGCTGTTAAGTGAGTTATAGCATAGTTGCCTTGAGCCCTGGCTCTTTGGGATGTTCTTTATTGTTTGTCCTCACTGCCAGTCAGGGTTTCACTGATATAGTTGGGGGAATTGCCCCTCCAAACAGAGAACAGGAGAAACCAACAGCTCTTGTTGATATAATGCATCTTTCTGAGAACTGCTGGTTATCGTCCAGAAATCAGTGCTGTGGGAAACTCTTCTATATACAGAACTAGACTGTAGTTGAGGAGAGGTGATGTGTTTTGCGTTAGCATCATAGATTTGTTTAGTCACTTTTAATCAAATAACTTGCTTGTTTTGTGGCAACGCTGAGTATATTTCTTTATGGCAAAACTACCGTGTAAACTGTTGAGGATGGAAAAGGAAGAGAGAGCCCTAGATATGCACTCTGCTGCTGTGTTGTTAGGTTCCTGCCTGGTGTATTGCTGCCATCTTGTGAGAGTGAATTGAAACAGTTGGTACATATCCAAGCAAAGCCCATCTTTCTACTTAGGACTTCATTTAAATCTTTTATTGGCAACTAAAACTGTTAATGTAAATTGCTCTGTAAATTGTATATATTTGTTAGAGCTTTTAGAGGTTCTTTTAAACTGGATGTGACACTAACTGGAGATCCTCCAGTTGTCTTATTTGGCAAATTCTGCACTGAAGTGAACTGCCTGAGTTTTTGCTCATATGGTCTGGAGAAATAAAACAAACATACTTGCCCTTTGATGGGGTTGGTGCGCAATTTAAAATTCTAATACAACTTTAATGCTAAAGGGCACAAAGGAGGACCGTTTAAAGGAATAGCTGTCATTGCCTTAGCTTGAAGGCATGAACGCTGCAGCAGTCACTATTAAAGGGACGAAAATGGGCAACCCATACTGAGACTGGGGAATCCCCAGGAATCCAGCCAGGCTGATTAATAGTCATTTCTGTACCCTGGAGCTGCTTCTGTATTTTTAACACTTAAGTGACACTACAGAGCCTGAGACAAGAAATGGAACAATGTAATGTGGAAGAGACGTTAGGAAGTTGATTGTTTAGAGTATTCCTGACACAGAATACTCCCCTATCATGAAATGCTTTAAAAATTTATTCAGGGATGTAGTCTTTTTTTTTTTTTTTTTTTTTTTTTCCAAATTTTCAAGAGATTTTGCATAAGTCTTGTGATATGTTCATGATTCTTTTTACCTTCATGATTCTTTTTCCCTGGAAGCATTACAGTATTTTCCTATATGCAGAGCAGAAAATAGTGATGAAATGTAAGATACCACTTTTTATAATAACAGCTAGTAGGTATTGGCTCAATGATGACACTGCTGAACATCAGCAGAGTACAGTCTGATTTTTTTTTTGGAGCTCAAATGAAATTGTTGGTGTCTTGAAAAAGCAAGCATGCATGAGGAAGAGTACATAGCTGAGCTCCAAACTTGGCCTAGTCTGATGTCTCAGCTCAGAAAAAATGGTAGTAAATTTGCTGTCTCCCTCAAGAGGCATATCCTTGCTTTTGTGTGGGAGATGAGGGGAAATTTGACAGTGATTTTGTGACTATCAACCTCTTTAATAAGATAAAATTATTCCATTTTCTCCTTTCTGTATTGCTGATTTATTGTTACAAATAGAATACTGAAGAAATAAGCAGGATACAAACATTAATGCAGAAAATTATATCCACCCTTCTGCATATGTTGAATGACAGTTTCCCAAGTACAAAACCTATGTGTGTATTTGCAGTGATTTCTGTTGGAATCCATCTCTTTCAGACTGACTTTTTGACATTTAAAATGATATTTAGCCTGGCCTTATACAGGCTGCGTGTGTATTACTTTTAACCTTACAGGTTTTGTCTCTTTCTCTTCTAGATAGAGGAACGGGCAGAATTTTTGAACAAATCCGCTCAGAAGAGGTAAAACAATAAAACAGATTGTAGATTCAGTCAAAACAACTGTGTTTAATTGGAGGCAATATTAATTTCTTTCTCTCTCTCCTTTTTTTTTTTTCTTTTCTACTCCTAAAGTGGTATGAAACCCACCCACACGACAGCAGTTGTCTCAAAGATTGACAGTAGACTTGAGCAATACACTAGTGCAGTTGTGGTAAGTTAATTCCAGGTCACGGTGACTTTAGTTATTAATGGCCTTGGGGTTTTAATAATCACCTTTTATTTCCCTGTTTAAAAATGTCAATGTTTTGATTTTTTTCTCCACAAGCCGTTTCTAATGAGACTCTAAAAGGAAAATGCTTGAGGCATGCTAATAATCAACCTCCATGTATATATATAACTCTACATGTAATCTCAGATTCATGTCTTCCCTTTCGTGCTACAAAATATACAGTCTGCTTTATAAGCCTGAAGTAGCTCTTGAAGGATTCAGTCAGCATCTCTTGAGTGGTAGGTGCATCCTTTCTCTCAGCTGAGAGCTGATAATCATCCTGAGCTGATTTGCTCAGGGTTATTTCAGACATAACAGCTTATTTCTGAGAGCAAAGAACTGGGCCTGTGTTGATGACTGCCACTTCAGAATGAAAATCCTGGACAAAGAAAGACACTTCAGTGAATTAGGGAGTTAAGAAATGACAAAGAAAAAGAGGGGGAAAAAAATAGAATTCAACCATAGGTTGACTACTGTCAAATATATATGCTTTGAGACCAGAATTGAGAGCTTTTTATTTTCATAGTTCAAGAAAAAGTAGTTTTTTGTTTGCTCATTTTTAAACTATTTTTATAAGTCAGTGAGTACAGGCAATGTGAAAGCCACTGGTTAATATAGTTGACATGGATTTGCAAGTGTAATGGCAATAAAATAGTATTAAAAGGGATATTATCTTGATAGCTCATACACGTTCCTACTCCCTTCAAACCTGTGTTACATAAAACGTACAAGAGTTTTGAAAAGAAAGAATAGACCTGGTGGTTTTGGTAACCATACAAGGGACGTACTGACAAAACCAAAAAGCAATAAAAGAAAACAAAAAAGCCCCCCTCCCTAAAACAAAACAAAACAAACAAACAAAAAAAACCAGCTAAATCCAAATATATTGCAATTGCTGAAATTTGCCTCTAGAATCCCAGGCTGTGAGGTTAACTTGTCTTGGGCAGATGGAGTAAGTCTGATGCTGGTTGACAGTGCAGCCTTTCTCTCCTGCCTCTGGATAAGGATTTTCATTGCTATATCCATGAAAGAGACTTGCTTACAGGATTCAAGTGTTGTGACTTGAAGGAGGACAAAAAATAAGCCTTGGAGCAGTTGTGTGCAGAGCTGTGGTTTTCCAAGAGCTCTAGAAATGTAACAAATACAAAAATCTAAGCAGTTTTCATAGCCTTTCATATCAAGGGTGCCTGACCAACTGCAAATCAAGAAAAGGAGAATCTCAATGTCATCTCTTGAGCAGGGTCCCTTCTCTCCATCTGTACATGATCATTACTAGAACTTAGAACTACTGCATTCCTCAGCACTTCCCCAGAGCCAAACCACCCTGCAAGTCCAGCTTTTAATGCCAACCACCAACTGGTCTCAATTCTTCTGCAGGGCACAAAGGCTGCAAAACCAGCTAAGCCAGCAGCCTCTGACCTTCCTGTTCCAGCTGAGGGTGTCCGTAATATCAAGAGCATGTGGGAGAAAGGGAATGTTTTTTCATCACCTTCTGGGGGGACAGGCGCACCAAATAAGGTATGTATTTGATTTCACATGGTGATTATAAAGAATTATGGATGTTATCTTGCAGTTCATGTTCTTATGAGTAAGCCTGGCTGCTTCCCTTGACATCACTGCTGAAGAATATCACAAAGCATCCCAAAATCCTCAGAAACCTGCAAAATGGCATGGCTGCAATACTCAGTGTAATGGAAGAATTTAGTGACACACTGTGCTAACTTATGAGACATTCCAGAGTCACATCAGATATCTTAGACAAATATATCTGGCTAATTCAAGCTGGGTACAAAGAAATTCTTTGTGTTGGGAAAGACTATTTCTAGGGGCAGAGTGGGATTAAACAGACAAGCTACTGATCTATTATAGGTCATGGATAGAAGCGTTTGTGAGACGTTTATCTATTCAACATAAATTCTTAAAACCACATTTCCTTTCGGTAAATTGATGGGATCTGAGGAGGATTCATCATAGCTGAAAAAGCAAACCATAGATTGAAGAAGGATACTTACAGATAGGCAAGAAATTTCAATAATTTGTTCTAAGCTTTTAAAGATTTATTTTAATGATAGAAATTTTATGCCAGCTAACTTCTAGTTCTTTTCTTTTTTTTTTTTTTTTTTTATAAAGTAATTTAACAAAATGAAATTCTAGGCTTACTGGTACCCCTTCTTTTAGGCTAAAGATTTTTTCTCCTTAGAGTTTGAGATTATGACAGAAACAGCAGGTTTGTGTCTAAGGTTTATTTTTGGTTAGCACAAATATTAAAATGATTCTGTCAGATCACAGTTACCATTACTGAAAACTAAAGGGCACCAGTACTGTGTAATTCATAGGGATAATATATTCTGAGTAGGCAGGATAACTCTTAGCTAGGCATAACCTCAGTGAGGACTTCTGTATTAAACTCAGATTTGGCTTTGTTTTTAAATCCAAACCATGAAAAAATATGGCAACAGCTATTCTGAAAGTCTTCTCATCATATTTTATTCTTTTGTAGGAAACTGCTGGACTGAAAGGTGGTGTCTCCAGTCGTATCAATGAATGGTTAACCAAGACCCCAGAGAGTAACAAATCATCTGCTCCAAAACCTTCTGTAAGTAAACCTGCAACAATCTGGTTGGTTGGTGGGTTATCTGCTGGGATGGAGCTGGTGATGGTACTTCCTTAGCCAACTGATGGTCTGTAGAGGAACCTTACTGCCCATCCTCTCTTGGAAGCTCCCAGAGGCCTTCTGCTAATTCTTGGGTAGGTGCAGGAACAGGTAGTTGTTTTCTGGGGAAGGCTAGGGATGAGGAACTGATGCTGTAAGTTTCCAAACTGGAGAATGTTAAGGCACATAATGGTGTAAATGATTCACCGTCTTTAGGATTGTATCAAAGAACTGCTTTCCTCCCATATGCTTTAGTAGTTTGTTTCTGCCAGTTCACTTGCCCTTTATAAAAGGTGTAGCTTAGCATACACTTTCTTAATTCATGTGCCTATTTATCTCAAAGAGAAGCTTGAAATTTGCAGCGTTGTCCCTCAAGTCAATATTTACTGGTGGCTACATGGAGATTGTGTCCTCATAGAAATAAATATAAAAAGAAAACAAGTAATTGTGGTAGATCTGGTTAATCACAAGTGCTGAAAACTAGCACAGCATCTACCTCCAGATTTTCTCTTTCTTCTAAGTTGCATCTTTTAGATAATGTAAAACTAACCTCTTATTTTCCCCTCAGAGAACTGTTTCTATCTATGTCTTCATTTCCCTCTTTCTCAATAGATTGTTCTTTCTTCTTTCAATATTTCTGCTTGAAGGAACCTGCCCTCCTCCTATTCTTTGCGGGTCTGTTTGCTAAGTTGGTCAGGTAAACCTATTCATAATTGACTCTGAAGAATGATATACATCTGTAATGTGTGTTTTTTACTTTTTACTTTTTTTTTTTTTTTTTTTTTTTAATCAGGCTAAATCAAAGGGAAAACAAGATTTTCTTACTTACAAAATAACTCCTTACCCTCATCCCATTCCTACACAATAAAGAATATTTCATAGTTTTCCAGATCAGGCAGTCAGACAGTCTACTGCTATTTTGCTATCTGCTTAACTCACTTTTTGAAGCACAGAAGAGGCTTAAAGTCTTAATGATATCTTTGGCTGAACTATAACATCACTGTTGTGTGCAAACACCTCTTGCAGAAATTAGACTTCTGTACCTCAATGTGCATTTTTCTATCCCAAGTTATAAATTCTTGTGTGCAGAAAGCTACGTATCTATGCATGGCAAGAGCAAGATCCTGGAAACCATGCAGGACTTTCTGAAAAGGATGGTATTTATGTCCTAAATTGTTTTAAGAGTCTTTTGCTTAGCATCCACAGGGGCAGATGTCAATTCATCTATCCTTAAAAAGGTGCATTACTACTAGCCTAGCATACGTCTTCTGGATTTGTAGTCCTGCTTTTCTGCAAAGAAAAGTTTTAAATTTGTATATGGAGACTTTAAGCAAAATTCAATACACTTATTTGCAGAGAATACTATTATTACTATTAATATTTTTTAACTTTACCTTACCTGGTTCTTTTTTCCATGTCAGGTTAGTGATCGGTCCACGTTAAGGTTTTAAAAGATACAATGGAAATTCAAATAGATAGGACCGACTACAGTGTTAAATCCTGAAACCTTTTTTTAAGAATGTAGAGGAGGATCTGTTGTATTAAAGTCTGACACTTTTTTTTTTTTTTTAATTAAATATGTTGATTCTGATCTAACATACCTGAGACAAGCTACCTTTGAATTCCTCCCTAACAGAAATACTATTTCTGAATTCTCTTTTTCCTCAAAAAAGGAACTTTTCATTGTATTGTCTAGGATGAATATAATAAATTATAGCCAGTCTGTGTAAAACCAAATAGATGTAGTAGGACTAGATTTTGTGTTAAAGCATGTGTATGTGTGGAGTGATTCGGTGAGGTGTCATTCTGAATAACTTTATAATTGATAGAAAATGTAATATTTACAACTGTTAGATGGTCCTCAAATCTTCTTATGAGGAAGTCACATTCTAACTTTTCCTCTAGCAAGTTAAAATAAATCTGAACTAAAGTTGGTTTTTGTTCTCTGACATTAACTTAAAAATACAGGATTTAAGACCAGGAGATGTATCTGGCAAACGTAATCTTTGGGAGAAGCAGTCAGTTGACAAGCCAGCAGCATCTTCTTCTAAGGTAACACATCAGTGCATTCTTAAAAGATAGTATCTGTGTGTGAAGCTTTTTGCTGAGGGAAGGCACTGTATGCCTTCATATGGTCAGTCATTTGGAATTAGGTCTCTGCATATCTTGTGTTACTAATATGCCTTTTCATATGCCTGTGTCACTAATACGCCTTAATAAAAGAAAGTGCAGCGAGGTACCAAACACCATGGACAGCATGTAACTTTTATTATTCCTATTTGGAAGAAGTTGTGTGTCGAATGCTGTCCTTTGCATGAAGATGACTTTTTTTTTCCCCCATGTTCAACTTTAATAATGGTTTCTTACTTTTTCAAACAGGTAACAGCAGCGGGGAAAAAATCAGAGACTAATGGTAAGTAATTCTAATAATTCACCTGCACATTAAAAAGAAACTTTGGCACATTTTTGTACACACATCACAATTCTCAGTTTTTAAAATTCTACAGCTGTTAATGTTGGTGCATGAAACCTTCACTCCCTTGCCATTCACTTTTCCCAAGCTTCCTTGCAATATCACTAAAACATGACTGCTATTTTGAGAAATAAGTCTGAATCATCTGGCTAGGAGAACTGAGGATGCAATTTCCAGCAATGTTTGCAAACCATGGTTAGAATGACATCTGTAGTGTTTGCTATAGTTGGAGAGCATCATTAAATTGTGCGAGGTCTGAGGGATGGGTTGGTCATTTAACTAATTACAGCACATACCAGGTATCTGGGAAAGGCTTTTTTAAAGGCTGCAGAGGGAATGGATATGCTTTTCATGAGTGGAGAACAGAAAACCAAAAAGCCAAAGCTAATGGGGTAGCATTATTTGAGCAGAAATGAAAGACTTCAGTACTGCTGAGAACAAGCATCTCATTTTAAATCCTGCCATTGGGTAATGGTGAAGCCTTGTGAAAATTCAGCAGCATTGGTTTTGGAAAATTCACCTGGCTGTTTGTGAGTCCCATGTGCTCTTGATTACCGGGAGTGGACCGGAGTTCAAATGCTCTCAGCATCATCACTACCTTTGCTGAAGCTATGCATTGGTCTTCTCAAGGAAAAGAGTCTTACTACTGTTCTTTTGAAATCATTAGTTTGGGAAACACAACTTAGTTATAAGTCAAGAAGTCTGCAAATTCACCCCCAGCTTGCGTGTGCTTCTTTAATTTTTGTTTTAATCTAAACCTTACCAAATAAAATCAATTAGAGGAAATATGTGCCTAAGGACCAGTGGGGAAGAATGGAAATTTACTGATCAATTTAATAGCTTTAAGATGTCCTACAACATCCGTTGATGTTTTTCCCACTAGGAATGAGATGATCAAATGTAGAAAAACTATTTTTGTTTGTTTGTTTGTTTTTCCCGATTAATATTTGTACGTTTTTTTTTCTCTTCACATTCATATGCAAATCAAGTGCTGTGATATGCTTGTGGACTTTTTTGGGGTCAGTTTAGAGTCTCACAAGATGGAATTGACTTCCTACTCCTCCTTTTTTTCCTTTTTCAAACTGAAGTGTTGGGAGAGGGGTGTTCAGGCTTGCTCAGTGTTAGCACAGCTCTGCTCCCATGGCAGGCGTTAGCGGCTGTGCCATCATCACCCGCAGGAGCAGCCCCTGCTGAGTGGTTGAGATGCTGCCAAGCCTCTTCTCTGAGGCTGAGTGAGATGAGGGCTTCAGCAGAGGGCTTGCTGGAGAAGGCAGATGGATTTCAGTCTTACTGTGAACACGGAGTGCATGTGCCTAGCCCTGTAGCACTTTGTGTGGTAGCCACCCACCTGTGGTTTGGGAGAGTTGAGGCAGGGAGAGTACTGCTTGCAGCATCCACTGTCTTATCGTGTGAAGCTCCTGAGTTGCTACCCAGGGCTGCTGGAGGTGAGGAAGGTTTCATAGAGAAATCTGGAGGCCACCTCTGATCGAGCCCAATACAAGAGCACAGCAACATCCAGCTTGTGCCCTGCCTTCTCACATGCCACCTGTTAATCTAGACTCATGCGCTCTCTATTTTAGAGATACATTTAGGTTATTTTAAGCCATCTTTAATTTTTCTTTCTCTCAGCAGGTTTGAGACAATTTGAGAAAGAACCATAGAAGGCTACTAAAGACGCTGGACCAATCAGTTGGGGGAAAAAAAAAAGAAAAGGAAAAATGCTAAATTGTTCTTTTTATATTTATGTTTATTTACCAAAATGTCTTTTTGCATTATCCCAGTTAAAACCATGTATATTAGCACTGTATTTAATAATCAGTCTAGACATTCATCATAATAGTACTGCCTTTGCACAAGAGCCTTTATTCCTAAAGAAACCCATGCTGTGAAATATATAGACTCTCCTACTGATAGTCATAACAAACTATATATCTGAACAGTGATTTCAACTGGCATAAGAGGTCAACCCAAAATTCATTTAAAGTGAAGTTGCTTAAGAAAGGTGTGCAGTAAACCTATAAAAACAATGGTTACTTTTGGAATACAGAAATCTTTCTTTCTGCACTTTAGACTAAGGCATGGAAGAAATATCTTTAGTTGACAATGTAATATTTTCTGTAAGTTGCCCATGTCATGAGAAATACTGCATCAATAACTTGTTTTAATTTTTTTTTTGTTTTATACTTTTTTTTAAGTATCAATTTTTCCATTCTAGTTTAAGTTAATACCTAAATTTGGATGATTATGTTAGCTGACAGCGGTACTGATATTTCTTTTTGTTGTTAGTGACTAGTAATTGATTGCAATTTAGAATATATACACACATAGCTTTACAAAGTTTAGCCTAAAGGCACTACTAACGGTAGAATGCTTTAATACGTGCTAGAGTATTATATTTAGTAATAAACATACATAATTAACCAGTATCACAGCTTAAAGAAGATAAAGACAAAATCACACACTTTTCTATAGTAAGATTTCTTAATTGCCATTAGAGGTATGGCGAGATAAGTATTAAAAAAAATTTAAGTGTCAATTGCCCAGTAATGGGTAATTAAAAAGAAAGTTATAGTTTTTAAAAGAGGAAAAGGTAATGGTATAGAGGGTCAAAAATAGGTCACTTGTATAAAACGTTGTAGTTTAATTTATATAAAACTACCATAATTAAAAAATAAAATAAAACTAAACACAGTTGGAGCTTGTTTTAAATGACTGTACACTAAATCTTGCCATTCATCAGTGCCGTACACGAGGTCCACCCAAAATGAAGTAAGCCTCTATCTTTGTACTGCTTCTTCTTAACTCCCTCTCCTGAATATCTTATTTACAGATGTTTTGATTTGTATATAGTAAACACATGGCTATAAGACGTCAGCTTGGTTTGAATTTACATGCCATACAGTTTAGCATTTACATCCTACAGTGTATGGGTGGCATAAACTGAGCAACTGAAGTAGCCCCCAGGTGCGTTGTTAACAGCTTCATCGTGCATCAAAACTACCAGGCTCTCCCTTAACACTGCTTCCATCTCTTACAGCATCTGACTTCTTCCTATAGAGAAGAATGGTATATTTTAACCCAAAGATGAGCTCCCCTGCTTGGCCAAAACATCTTGTTTACATATAGAGATGCACATAGTTATCTGTAAGGGGTGAAAATGTGCCTGACGTTGTCTATGCATTGTCATGTTTTTCATTTGGGGGTTTTGTAAACACTCTTCTGAGTCTTTCAAATACATTTGATAGCTGCAATAAAAATGATTCATTCAAACAATGTATTCTGAAACTGCATCCACAATAAATGGAATATTTCCATCAGCAGCCCCCTGTTTGTTAATGACTAGGAATGAAACAGTTGTTGTGACTAGGATAGGAATCATGCTAAGGCTGTGTGAAATAACGTGTTGCTGCCACAAAGCTTGAAGGCTGTCTTTCTTGATGCACTATCCTACACCAGATAGCTAAACCCTAAAATCAGCAGCTTTAACCTATGGATTCTCAAGAAAAAAAAAAAAAATCTAAAAATCTTAGTTGTCATGCTTGTCAGTACAGGACAGGAGCTGGGCATCATCTGGATGTCAGCACGCCCAACAAAGTCGGTTCTAACCAGCAGCACAATTGTCTGTTCTCCTCGTTTGCAAAACTTTTTCTGTGAGAGCCATTAATGTTGTTTCTTCTGCTTACCTTGGTGAGAGGCAGCTCAGTGGGGAAGTGCTTCCAAGCTTGGGTGGTCACAGGGACCAAGCCTGGGGAGATGCTGGCATCCCATTGTTCTCCTACCCCCTTCTTTTCTGCTGTAAGGCAGCACGGCCCATACTGCCCTGCTCTACTCAGGTCACCGTCCTTCGAAAGAGTTCCCCCAGGCTGCTGCCATCTCTGCAGGGGCCAACGGGAAGGCTGCAGGAAGCAGCTTTCTCAGTTGCTGGGGAGAAAGTAGTTGGATGCTTTCTAATTTAATCTGGAAAGAGCTTGCATGCTTGAAAGTGTATGTGCTCTCCCTCATTGATTGACCATATTGATATGCTTCTCTCCAAGTTTTAGTGAGTAAGGCTTTTTTCTTGTTGCTGTGAATGTTTCTTCTGCTCCTCGTTATTATCATTTTCTGAGACCATGAAGGTGTGCTGGGCACTATTGGTTTTACTTTTAGGCAATACTGACTTGTGGGTCATTGCCAGATTGTGCCCCCATACTGGCAGCCCTTACTGGTGGCATCTGACCCAGCAGCACCAAGCATTTTGTTTGCGTTTTGATGCCACTAAAGAGGTGACAATTTGTAAGACAGTATCAGTTTGGTGCTTTAGTTTCTGATTATGCTTTACTGTTTGCTTGCTTGCTTGGCCTCCTAGCCAAACTTTCTGTTAGTGTGCAAAATATCACACAAAGAAAAAAAATAAAAAAAAAAATAAGCCCTGTCTTTGCTTTGGTGTAGCATTTCCTATCCAAAAATACTTCAAAACAAGTGTAAGTCTACCTCAGTGATTGCTTTGGTGTTTTTAAAGAAAAGCTTTTTTTTTTCCTTTTTTTTTGTTTTTTTCCCCCCTTGTCTGTATTTTCCTTAGATAAAGCCAAATCTTCTTTGGGTATATTAGTTCCTGAATGCTTCTAGCAAAGTTGCAAAAAAAAAAAAAGTTTTGTGTTTGAGATTTCAAGAACAATTTGCCCTGCTTTCCTAGATAGTCCCTATGTTCAGCTGGATTTATTTTCATGTAAGTTATCACTGCATATGTTGCTGTCTTCACCTTGTCACCTCTCGTTGTACAAGAAATCAATTTCTAGTTGTTCAGAGGGAGGGCAGTTTTGCTCTTTAGCTTTGTCTGTTTGATGCATAAGCCCCAAATTAGTTTCTTTCCCAGTGTTGTCCTTGTACAGGAAGCATAGGAGCCCATTTCTACCTCTATGGAAATTGAAAAACGAAACTTCAGGCATGTTTTTAAATAAATAGTCATATCAAACAATGTAAGCATCACAGTGACAAAGTTTTGGTCTTATTCAAACTTTAATTTTTGTTTTCTTGTTGTTCATATAAAATTTTAAAGCATTGATTCACACCATAAAAATCACAACTATGTAATAAGCAAAGTAATTAAAGACAGTGTTCTTCAACAGCCACTCATAAGCCAGTAAGACTTACTGCACTGAAAACAACATAAAAAAAAATCTTGAAAGTAACTATTTTTTTTTATTTGTTAAACATGTCTTTAATTATGTAAGACAAGAAAAAACGGAAATGAGACATTGTCTTTTTTTTTTTAAAAAAAAACTATTAATCAAGAACAGATTTCAGCTAACCCTCTCAACACAAGACCCATCCCCATTGATGCATTCTTTCACCAGCTAGTGGTCTCCTCCTAAAAAAGGAGGGCAAGTAACCACTTTTAATGATCATCAAGTACAAAAGAAGAAATCAGGACTCATATACAGAGGACATCTAATCTGGAAGGAGATACATAGAGGTCTCGCAGAAACCACTGGTGCTAATATTCTGCCTTGAATGGGTAGTCCTTATGATTGACAGCCCTGCAAAGAGAAATAGCTTGTTTTTACAGGTGTTGTAGCAAGCATCTTCAGCAGCATTTCCCTACTGCGGTGGCCCTCCCCCTTGCCAACGTACTCAAGTTTTGCAGCTGACAGCTGTCATTAATTTGAACACATGCTTGTGAACAATCACGTGCAATACCAAGATGCTGAATGCCTCTCCTTCCTGATATCAGTTTCAGGATGTCTTATCATCAAGGTTTAAGATGGGAACTGTCTAGTTTTGGTCAGGTATGCTTTCAAGATACATGGAATGAAAATACAGACAGAGATAGGCCTAGTGGATAATAAGGATAATGAGAAACATACTGGGCTACTGGAACTGCCCTCCAGTTCCTGTTAAAGCTGAGGATGACATCCATCTCCTTTTTAGACAGCTCGAAGTCGAACACCTAGCAGAAGAAAAAAAAGGAAACAAAAGTTTCTTTTTTAGTTAGGTTCATAAGTAGTGAGATACGAAGTGTGCTTCCAGCATGTATTATGACTGAAGGTAAGAACACATTGCATCCATGCTAGTGCTAGTTAAGAAATCCTCTTATTTCTCAGCCAGATGTCAATTTACCAATTAGTTCATTTCTCTCTGAAGCGTTGTTCATAGCAGTAGCTCAGCTGCGGGTACTTGAATGCAAACACCACTTCTGTTTGTGTTGTAATGCACTGACAGTGAACGTAGGTGCTAAGGGCTGATTGCTCGATGTGTAAGGACTTCCTGAATACCAACTGCAAATTATTGTCTCACAGTTGATGTCATCTAAGAATTCTTGCTAGTGGTTAATAAAAGAAATGACTCCAAAATATAGCAGCATGAACTGAAAGTAACAGAGCAACCATCTAAGATGCCATGTCATCAAAGCAAGCATCCAGCTGACTCTCCCTGCCAAGGAAAACCACAGCCTCAAAATGAGACAAACTGCTAATGAGCGTGGTGTTTGTAGTTTGTTCCTTTATGCCCCAAAGCAGGGCTCACTAAGCATCTCCCAGAAGGGAAACCCCAAACTGTGATTCCACTTCCAGCACCCACTTTTGTGTAACCCATTTTTCTATTGGAGATAACAAGATCCTTCTCACCACAGAAAAAGGTGTGGTGGGTAGGTACTACTGAGCCCTGATCTGTATATCTTTGTATCCCTTCCACTGACTCCTGGGTGCTGCCTGGAAACACAGAGGGGATTAGGGTGTGGGTGCCTATGCCATGTCAATAGGTGGCTGCAGTCCTGATGGAAACTTCACCTTTATGTTTTCCTTAATGCGCTGCACTTTGTCAGACTTGGGAATGACAGCCACGTTCCTTTGGATGTTAAACCGGATCAGGACCTAAATAAGGACAGGGACAATTATGAGCATAGGGGTGCAAAAAAAATCTTCAAATGCATTTTGTGCATTTTCTCTTACATTTTTTTTCTTCCCACAAACCCATTCCTCTTTCTACAACCACATTCACTCTTTGGAAAAATACAAGACTGCACAGAGGAGTTTTGATGTTCCAGCATTTGTTGGCAGTCTACTGAAAAACTATCAACTGTTTCTATATCTTGGCTTCTCAATGATTATTTTTTTTCTGGGGGGGGGAAGGAGGGAGAGAAAAATGATGATGCTTCTGGCTTGTATTACATGGGTGCTCAGACCAAATTAGGTCATAGGTAAGTACCTCACCTCATACTCATAGGTAAGTACCTCACCTAACTTAAGCTTTCAGAATGCTTTAAATAGAAAAAAAGATTTCTGAAGTTTTTTCCATCAACAAAGGATTGTTGCATACATTTTTTGCCTGCTCTGCCCATCTTAAAATGTGACTATGGTTAATTGCCTGCGAACACGTGGATTTGTTTGAAATGCAATTCCTGTCCACTATGGGCAAGATCTCTTCAGTGAGTCTAGCAAACCATAGAGAAAAACATTTCACCTTGACTAATCAAGCAGCTTTCAAAGACTCTCTGTGAAGGTGAGCAAACAGCAAGCAATCAGATAGCTCTGCAAATTACTTCTGCTTCTCTGAAGAGTAACTTAGCTAACTTAGCTGGAGAAAGGAATAATGTGTTGGTTTGATGATTTGTAAGTAAATCTCAGAGGAAAGTGATTTTCAGAGAGGGAGCACTTCTCTCTGGGAGCAGAATAAATCTCCCTAGGAAGGGGGACACTTGAGGTAAGCTCGTACCCATACTGATTAGCTCCTTCAAGCTCAATACTCAACATGAATTACCAGATGTTTTCTAAGAGACATGAATGCTGTTAAGAACAGGGGCAGTATGAAGAGTCAAGTGCAGTTCAACCCCATTGTACTGTATCCTTACGGAAGGCAGCATCTGTAAAGACTGGCCATCGACTCCTATAAATGTCTGAGTAGGAGGAAGAGTTTGCTCTGACATCTCCACTTACCTGGGCAGGGGTTTTATTATGTCTAGCTGCAATCTCTTTAATCTTAGGATCCTCCAGCAGCAGGGGTTCCCCTGGCTTGGCCCTAATAAAAGCAAAAACCAAGTATTAGCTACCATACTGGTGGTAGGAAGGTATTAGCTTCCCTGCAACAAAGCAAGAGCATTTCTCTCATTGTAGCTGCATTATTTGCATACTCTGCCACAAAGATTCAATTTGCAAATCCAGTCGTCTTTGTAGAGAAAGGCTGCTGTGGTTTCTTACCATGGCCGGTTTGGAGAACCCAGGGGACTGTATGCTGTCACAGCGATCCCTTTGGATTGACAGTACTTGATCAGCTTCTCCTGGGTCAGGTATGGATGGCATTCAATCTGTAAACACAGAAACCTGGAGGTTGGCATGGAAGCAGACTG